AGGCTGACTCAGAATTCACTGTGTAACCCAGGCTGGCCTCAAACTTGGGATTCTCCTGCCTCAGCCACAGACGTGCTGGAGTGCTGGGATTAGAAGAATATGCTGCTACACATGGCCATGAACTCTTCCTTATTTCCTTCCTTCCTTTCTCCCTCCCTCCATTCATCCACACCTCCTCCCTCTCCTTTTTTAGAGACCAAATCCAGGGCCTCATAAATGCTAGAAAAGCACTCTACCAACGAGTCACAACCCTGCCTTCTTCCTATTCTCCTTGTTGAGACAGGGTTCCACTAAGTTGTACAGCTGGCCTTAAACTCACTGTATAGCTCAAGCATGGCTACCCTCTTGTCTTATCCTCCCTAGTAGCAGTGACTGTAGACCCGCACCACCAGGCCAAGCTGTCTTTTTTTTTTTATTAACGATTGTGCCTAACATTATCAGCTCCAGGCCTTGCAAAGCCTGCAGTCTGCCATAACACCCACAGGAAGGTCACAACTGATTCTTAGTGTTATCCTGCTCGGCCAGATCTTACAGAAGTCGTGTATGCAAAGCTGATGGGGGAAAACACCACGGATGGAAAAATCTAGAAAACAACATTTAACCTCATACATATCAAATGTCAAGTCACACCCCCTCCCTTAAGTCAGCTAGATGCCATGATGCCCAGTTATCCCCATGGACCTAGAAGAACATAGGCGTAACAGGAGCCCTGGTTACATCTCAGTTGGGCTCTGATTTTCTTAAGGAACAGAGGATCCACCTGGGAAGGACCGTGCCCTAAGAGGAGCAGTCACCCGACCCTGTCTTACATGCTTATTTTTATGGAAAGAAAAGTGTGGGCGCTGCAGAGTATTGGTTGCTGACTTTTGTTTTTGTTTCATGGACGAAATATCCACACAGTCCCTCACCCCTCGTATAAGAATCATCTGAGTCCATTCAAAGCAAAGCCCACATCTTTGAGGTTCTAAGGAGTCAGCCTCCCAAAGGACACGAATAGGTTAACGTGCACTCAACCCAAAAGAGCACAACATACAAGAACCTGTGTGCAGAGAAGACCAGCATTCAAATAATGCTTGTGCCAGGACTGTGGCATGTGGCAGTCAGAAAAGCTATAGGATGCTGGTGCTGTAGCCATAGCACTCCTAAACTCGTGCTGTGTGTCCCCCAAACCCCTCTCCAGCCTCTCACGATGGCCCTGCTCTGCCCACTGTGTCTCCTCTCACGATTACTTCATCTCAAATCAGGTCACTGGCAGGTCCAGCAAAGGGAAGGGTGGTGACGCTGGACAGCCCCCTCTACCCCGCCTACCACCTTTTCCTCTCCCAGGACTGTATTTTCTTTCTCAAAGTTGCTTCCAAAGTGAATTTGATGACTTTCCCAGATGCCTGGCAACCACACAGGGCTGCAAACACTGGGAAAATTCAAGGGAATTCTCATGCACATTGGAAAGGTTAGACATGACAACAGGGAGCTAGGGAATCTTGAGGGAAATTGAAAATCATTAGCTACTTTAGGAAGATGGCAGGCTGGAATTCTCCAACCTTTTGCTTCTCTGCCAAGTATTTTTACTTTTAAAGAGAATATGCACCAAAATATAGTGTAGTCTCTTTAAAGACGGTGACTTCCAGACAGCAGGGGTCTCTGGTGGAAAAGCTGGGAGGGACAGGCAGAAGAACATTCCCAGAAAACAAAGAAGTCAATCTTCTTGTAGAAATGGACTCAGGAAGCCACACTGTCCCACGCACAGCCAGGCTCACCCACCTCTGTTAAAGCAATTCAACAAATATAGTACAATGTGGCTCCATGATTCTCAGACCTGGCACAAACTAGACATAAAATGAAAGACACCAACCAATCCTGAGCTTAGGCCTCTACTACACTCTGCCCACAGGTTCTTCCTGCTGATTTCTTGGGTTTTCTTCACAAGCAGAATCCCCTGCTGTCTCCACAGGCCTTGCCCTCCATTGCTGCCCTGATTTCCCCTGTGCAGGAAGCAACAGCCACCAAAGAGTCACACAAACTGTTGTTGAGAGCATGGCATCCGAATCCTGGTTGCATGGGAGAATTACCTGGGAGGCTTTGCAAACACCCCTGTGGGAAGGCTGGTGGAATTTCCCAATCGGTCAAGCACAAGGCTTGAGTTTGATCCCCAACACCCGAGTGAAAAGCCAGGGGGATCCCAGCAATGGAAAGATGGAGACAAGCAGATCCCCGGGGCTCACGGGTCGGCCAGGCTAGTGAACAGCAGACATGCAAGTTTAAAAATAAAACAAAGCAAGACCTACAACCCCCGTGACCAGATCCTTCTTCAGACCAAACAATTCAGAACTCAAGCTAGAACTCCAGCACTTGTGAGGAGCTGATACAGGGGCTGGAGAGCCGGCTCGGTGGTTAAAAGCACCTGCTGCTCTTCCAGAGGACCCCCATTCAGCTCCCAGCACCCACCACGTGCTGACTCACACCATCTTTAACTCCAGTTCCGGGAGGTTTCCACGCTCTTTTCTGACTGCCGTGAGCACCAGGTGTACGTGTAGTTCGTATATCTACATGCAGGAAAAATATGCACATAAAATGAATTACTTGAAAAAAAAATCTAAAGTTAAATGTCAGTGTTGTTATCGCACCCCTCCCCCACCAACTCAGAGTTAAATCAGTGACTCCAAAACTTTCCTCACATTCAACTCCTTTTCCTTCAATGTCAAGCTCCCAAGTTCTGGGACTATTGGAGGAAAGCTTTCTAAAAATACCTAGCACCTAGACTTCAAGTTGAATTAATTAGATCTAAGTTCCAGGGGTGGGACCAGGTCTCACTTTTAATTGTTTAGCCTAACTGGGAAACAAAGGGTTAACTATAATAATCTCACCCACGTGGGTGGGATCTGGGGGAAGGGGGAAGGACTTGAAAGACAGGACATCTTCTAAGTCAGGCACAAGAAATCAACAGAGTTTGGCTAGAGCCTGGGTAGTGGTATTAACAAATCTAAAGATAGAACACGTCAACCAAACCGGGATGTCTGTGTGGAACAGTGGAAGTGGGGGTCAGAGAGGAAGGACTCCTGGGGGTGGGGGGCACCCCACAGGGACAGCCAGTTCTGTCTGCAGAGGAGAAAGAGGCATGAGCCTGAGGGTGCTGACCCCCTTTGCCATCAGCTCCTCTCCCGTGGCATGTCCCGGCCAGGCTGTGTGCTGCACCTGTCTTTATGCCATGCGTCTTCCTGTTTAGTTTCCGACTGGGAGAGGACACATTAGTCAAGGTGACACAAGTGTCCACTCTGCTTAAAAGCTCTTGTTTCTCGCCCCAAACTGCTAAGTTGCCATTTTGGTTTATGCGGCAGTCGAATGGGAGCTTGAGTGATGTGTGTCTGTCCCTGAGAGACTGAGCCCGTCCAGTGCCTCGATAAAGTCTAGTTCCCAAGCTTCCCAATCTGTTTTCCCAAGGTGTCACGACCTCCAGTTTCCCAGGACTTAGTGTGGAGCCCTTCTATACAGGGTGGGGAACCTCGGGAGGGGAGTAGTCAGTGTTCTATTCTGTGAGCTGCTACCTTAGTTCTAGGATTTAAGAACAACAGTAAACACATTTACATCCATATTAGTGGCACTGCCCTTTTTTCTGCACAAGTCCAAGTCCTGGGGAAAGTTCTAGAAATCCCTGTGGGGCTATTGTTATAGACATAGGGTCTTAGGAATGCAGGGGCCCTTCGGAAACAGATTGCTACGCCTGGATTAGAAGCGATCAGTGAGTTTGAGATACCAACCTTTTGCCAATCAGTACAGGAAATATTTTCAATATTTTAAGGACAAATAGGCCCAGCTCATGCTTCTGCACAACAGCCCACTATCAGCTCTGGTTTTAGGTAACAAGTATTGGTTAACTAAATCATGCATTTCCATGACTGGTAAGCATTCCTCCACCAGCTCCCCCACAAATCACCCAAGGTTCTCCTGCCTCAGACTTTGATGTCACACCCATGAGAGACAAAATCTGCTTGACCTGACAGCCACTTCCCCTGGGTAGCTGAATGGTTCAGGCCTCTGGGGTCACAAGGGGTGGAAGGGAAAGGGGCGTGGCCTCTTTGAAGGATGAGTCTGCTTTACCTTTTACTTCAAAAGAAGTGAAACAGAAGCTTTTGCCATGTGCAACTGTGAGCCCCACTGATGAAATCAACCTTCTGCAGACATATCCCAGTAATAAAGGGCCAATCCACTGGTCCAATATTTGTAGGCCAGCCGAACGAGAACAAACCTCTGACGGCCTCTAGGGTGGGGTCTCCCACGTTGACTGGTCTCAGAACGGCCTCATCAGCATTTGGCACCAACTGTCCTGCCACGAATGACTGAGCACACTGTCACCTAGTGAGAGCACCAAAGAACGCCCAGTCGCCAACTCCTGACTCTCCCCGGTGGGTTAAGGAGATGTGACTGAGGAAACATGGGGTGGCAAGCAGCGGCTCTCAACTTTCCTAACGCTGTGACCCTTTAATACATGCCCTTGTGCTGTGCTGACCCCCATCATAAAGTTATTTTGTTGCTGCCTTTTAACTATAATTTTGCTACTGTTATGAATCATAATGTAAGTATCTGATGTGCAGCTCTAAGGGGATGGAGAAAACTGGAAAACTGTAGCACTGTTGTGAACTAGGATGTACACCAACCAGCTCATAGTTCACCGTGCCCCCCACAGTCTGGGGTTTCTAGACCTTTCCCCTATGTCTTACTCTCCTCTTTTCCCCACTCTAATGTTTTACAGTGATGTGTGTCGTTGTTCTATTAAAAACCCTTTTAAGAGATGTACGGACTGCGCCTCTCAAAATCATTTGTGCTCTCAGTGATACATGAGTTATTCCATAGCAACTGGGAATGCGTGGTCAGGAGGGTGAGCCACTAATGGCAAAAATGTCTAAACAATGGATAGATGCTTGTCGTGTTTCCTAAAACAATGTAAATAGCCACTATAGCCAAAACATTTGTTTCCAACTTGCTATTTTGGTGTCATCTTCCAGGCACTGCAGAAAGCTCTTGGCTGAGGAACAACAGAAAGAATTTCACTACCCAAAAGGGAAAATCTGCTATCTCTTGTGCGTCCCCAGCGAAAACATCATGTGAACTCTGGCTGCTAACAGCCCCTCCCGCCGCGGGCTGGTTCAACTGCAGAAGTGAGACTGTTAATAAACATTCTAATGAAAGGAAGAGGTTGGGTAGTAATTAACATATAATTAACATATGCCATTAGTATCTGTCCCTTTGGCCAGACATGGCAGACAGGCGGAAAGCATACATACAAATGAGTGTCTGCCAGAAGTGCGTGGGGACGGGAATGGGACAGTGTTATTGTGAGCAGCTGGTGGTATCAGTGGCAAAAGACACAAGGCCCCTTAGCAACAATCCGGGAAGACTTTTGTGTTCCACAGTCATGTGGTGTCAACATATTTTCACCCATTTAGTTTTCTTTCACTTGCAAAAAAATTTTTATTTATTTATTTATTTATGTATTAAGTCAAGTATTGTTATACAGCCCAGACTGCCAGACTGGCTTAGAACTGATCATGCCTCAGCTTCCTGAATGCTGGGACTACACATCCAGCTTTAGTGTGTGTGTGTGTGTGTGTGTGTGTGTGTGTGTGTGTGTGTGTGTGTGTGTATTACTGGTGATTGAATCCAGGGGGCTACTCTATACTACAGAGCTATATCCCCAGCCTTCAGTTCAGTTTTTTAAGAAAAATACTGACACCAGGCATTGGTGGCGCACGCCTTTAATTCCAGCACTTGGGAGGCAGAGGCAGGCGGATCTCTATGAGTTCGAGGCCAGCCTGGTCTACAAGAGCTAGTTCCAGGACAGCCTCCAAAGCCACAGAGAAACCCTGTCTCGAAAAAATAAAAAATAAAAAAGAAAAGAAAAGAAAAGAAAAATACCGACAGCCATTTTCCTTTCATGTTTAGTCAGTGGGCACAAAACTGAAACTTAGGTTTTTTTTTTCTCTCTCTCTTTGAAACAGGGCCCCATATAGGCCAGGCTGGCCGTGAAACCCCTGTGTGGTGGAGACAACTGACTTTCTTCTGCCTTTCTCTTGCTGTCACCTCCCGAGTGCTGATACCACATAGTGTACCACTGTGCCCAGTTTATGACGTGCTGGGGATTGAATTTACGGCTTCCCACACTCCCGACAGTCACTCTGCCAGTGAAGCTACCCCCCAAGCTGGGCTTTTTTCCTAATGTTTCCATGGATGGAGAGAAGGACATAGTCATATCCTCTGCTAGTCACATCTCTCCAGCTTTAGGTTCTCCTTCATGTAGCAATGCAGGTCTTACAATTGCTCAGAAAACGCTGTCTCGCAACAGACTGGAATGGGAGAGGCGGGGACAGAGGTTTCTGTGGAACATTTTGCCAGTGGGAAACAGAGGCCAGAAAGAAGAACCAATTTCCTATATCAGGGCTGACATGTGACTCTCAGTCAAGATGTTACTGTCCTAGGTCACACTGTGGCATCACTTGCTCTTTCTACCTTTGACCAAGATTTGAGTGACTGATCTCATATGACCTTCATGAGAAAGAAGGAAGCATAGAAAAAAAAAAGACATCACACTAGCACCTCTCTGTGTGTGCTGACCTACTGGGTTCACATAGATCTGGGAAGAAACAGAACATTTCAGAGACACTAGAAGCACAGAAACTCAGTGCCATTTGCCTGTGAGACACCAGGAAGAGCTAAAACCGGAAAACCTCGAAAGAACAGAGCATTCACACCGAAAGAAAAGGTTCAGAAATCAGAGAGGTTGCAGAAAAACACAAGCTGACAAGAAAGATGCCCCAGGTATGTAAGCAGAAGGCTCCAGGAGAGTCTCATGCGTAATTTAACAAGTAGTCTCCTTGTTGTAACTGGAGTGACTGTCTTTGGCACCTGTGGATGGTTAAAGTTGGCTTCATACTGTAGCCGAAGAAAGAAGTCAGAGAAAACTAGAGAAATTAGTTCAACCTACTTACCAACAAGTTCAAGCGTTGCTCATGCTTTTCCGAGAGCACAACATACCAGTGTTCAGTGTGCACCATCCACTTTCTAATCAGACCCGCATACATCTTTGTGTCTCGTCACTAGCAGGCAGCTCGTCTCCCAGCTGTCACTCAAGTATAGTGTAAATTACTCCATTTGGTGGCCGATGAGAGCAGCTTCCATGGAGGTCCTGCGGGTGGAGAACTGGGGAGATGGCTCTGCGGGTGAAGGCACCAGCTGTATGTGGGGAAGCACTGAGTTTCATCATTGCTGCGCCTGCTGGCCTGGAGTGTGCAGGGCACCCCAGACACAGCAGAGACCCTGCCTTGGCGAGGGGGAAGGTGAGACTGCCTCACAGAAGTTATCACTTCCTCGAAGATACTTACTCCCGTCTTTCTCTCCTCCCCACGCCCAGGTTAATTAACTCATTTAAATGAGCATCTTGTGGATGGAAATGTGGCTGTTGCTGTACTTGTCGTTTGGTCAGGTTCCGTGTCAAGCTTCGTACCCAGGAGGTAATAGTTCTCTGCTCTGCAAGAAGGATGGACACAAAGGAAATTTTTAAAATGAAAGGACTGAATATTTCACTTCCACTGTAAATCTGCGGGCTTGACTATGGACTGCTCTGGGTAGAGGACATGTATCCACCAAAGGCTGACAGACCAAAAAACATAAATGAAAGCGTGTATAATAATCCTGGACGCCATATGGTTCCATTTTGCTCTGGTTTAACAGAAATTGAGAGGTAAAGCCAGCTCTATACTTGCCTTAATCAGGATGACTATTGCTGTGTTGAAACACCATTACCAAAAGCAGCTTGGGGAGGAAAGGGTTTAATGGCTTACACCTTTACATCAGTGTTCATCATTGAAGGAAGTTGGGATAGGGACTCAACAAGGCAGGACCCTGGGGGCAGGAGCTGATGAAGAGGCCATGGAGCATTGCTGCTTACTGGCATGCTCCTCAAGACTTAGCCAGACAGGGCTGGTCCCACAGTGGGCTGGGCCCTCCCCATCAATCACTAATTAAGAAAATGCCCTAGAGACTTGCCTACACCTGAGAGAGAGAGAGAGAGAGAGAGAGAGAGAGAGAGAGAGAGAGAGAGAGAGAGAGAGAGAGAGTATAACAACAGCCAAAGATTTTTAAAACTCAATTTAAGCAGAAAGTATTTCATAGTCAACAGATTCAGAATAAGAGGGACAATGAATGGAGACAATTGTCCTCAAGTAGAAGGCTCATTCCTGGCATATTGTTCATGTGGGGATAGAGATGACACACTCATTGTCTCTGTTCATTTTCTGTTGCTGAGTAACTGAGTACCACATGTAGGTAATTTATCAAGAATGGAGTTTTATTTAGAACCCCTAGACGCCGGGAAATGCAGGAGCATAGTGCCAACCCCTGTGTAGCACCCGAAGATAACCTTCTTGCTGGTAGCGGACCGTGCAGAGTTCCAAGGTTGCCACCTTGGAACAGACGTGGTGAGACAGAACAAGCTCGCTACTTCTGCTTCTTTTTCTCATTTTACTTTTTATAACATTGTTAATTCAATCATGAGTCCCCCTCATGACGTCATCCATACTTAATTGCCTCCCCAGGGCACACCACCAAATGCTATTCACAGATGATTGTCAAGCTGCTTGCAAACTGTGTACAGAGCTTCCTGAGATGTCAACTGTATTAGGACAGGCTTTTCAGTGACACAGCTGCTTGAGTCATCCCTGCTCCTCTAAGTACCCCTTATCCACACTCCTGTTGGCGACCTCAATAAAAACTCATTGGTTCACCAAGCTGGAGTTTGGTGCAGTTATTACTTGGGTCTGTCCTTGTGCTGGATGGTTTTGGGTCAATTTGACACAAACTAAAGTCAACTGAGAAAATGCCTCCATAAGATCTGGCTGCAGAAAAGCCTATAGGGCATTTTCTTAATGAGTAATCGATGGGGGAGGGCCCAGACTATTGTGGGTGGGGCCATCCCAGGGCTGGTGGTCCTCGTCTCTATAAGAAAACAGATTGAGCAAGACACAGGGGCAACCCAGTGAGCAGCACCACTCTGTGGCCTCTGCATCAGCTCCTGCCCTGTTTAAGGTCCTGTCCTGGCCACATTCAATGATGAAGAGCAGTATGGAAGTGTAAGCCAAATACACCCTTTCCTCCCCAAGCTGCTTATGTATGTCATGGTGTTTCATCATAGCAATAGTAACCCTCATTAAGACAGTTCTAGTTTCCTTTTCTGGGTTGAATATGTGTATATATGTATGGCATCACCCCAAGAGAAGTCTGTCACATGACACCCATACACATATGCTCATCTGTGTCTACTAATATTTACATTAGTAATTCAAACACACACACACACACACACTGTGGAGAATACTTACCAATGTCTGGTCACATTCTGGGTTGTCACAACTCATAGGAAGAGTGCTATTGGCGTCTTGTGGGTAAAGGACCAGGCAGGATGCTGCTAAACTTGGTACACTGCACAATTCAATTCACAACAACAATTATACAGCATGAAATATCCATGGCGGTAAGGTTAAGAATCCCGATCTCTGGATACGTATTTTAGAACAAACCTGCATGAGTCTCTCTTGGTACCTAGGATGAATCTAGCATAAAGAGTTCATTCTAGCCTTCTTCTTTTGCTTTGTTGTAGTTCCCATAATCCGCAATATGCTTACTATTTGCTCAGTCACAGTATACAGGATAAATAGATTCAAAATTGTTGATCCAAACCCTGTTTTAATCTCTCTGTCTCTAAAGACTGGCAGATCTGAGTGTTTCCTCTATTCTTCTTATTTTTATGTGTATTGATATTTTTGGTTTTGGAGGTTTTTTGTTGTCGTCGTTGTTGTTTTATTTGCTTGCATGTATATATGTGCACCAAATGCATTCCTGGTGTCTCCAATGCCAGAAGAGGGCATCAGATCTCCTGGGACTGGAATTGCAAACAGTTGTAAACTGCCACATGGGTGCTGGAAATTGAACCTCTGAAAGACAACAAGAATTCTTAGCCATTTATCCAACCCTATTTTTTATATTTAAAAATTCTTCTGGAAAAATTTTTGAATTTATTTAGGGTGTGTGTGTGTGTGTGTGTGTGTGTGTGTGTGTGTGTGCGTGCCTGCATATATATATGCTCTGTGTGGTGCAGGCCTGGTGCCCTTGAAGGTCAGAAGAGTGTATCTGATCTCCTGTTACAGATGAAATGAAACTGGAGTTATAGATGGCTTTTAACAACCATGTGGGTATTAGAAATTGAACCCTGGTATTCTGCAAGGGCAACAAATTCTCTTAACAACTGAGTCATCTGTGCAGTATTTTTTAATTTTTAAAACTAAGAAAAAGGAAGGTGGAAGTTAGAGGCTCACAGAGAACCTGAGAAGCTGAAGCTGCCTGTAAGTTCTTTAATGCCAGAATTCATTTCTGGTTCTTATTCATTTGCTTTGTGAATTTGGAGTAATTGAGTAACCATTTCTTTTTTTTAATTTGCCCCTCTTGAGAAGTTCTCTCCAAATTGTTTTGATTGCACATCCTATCAGGAAAAAATAATCCATTTCTATTAGCTCAAGAAATGATGGCCTGAAGATGTAGCCCACAGTTTAATAGTGGCATGACTGTATTTGGAGATAATCAACCACTTTCTGATTGGATCAACAGCTGTGGTGGTGATAGGTCCTGGGGTGTAGATGGGGGAAGGTGAGTACTTCCGTTTTACTGAATGGTCATGTTGTCAAACTGCCCACTAAATAGTCATTTTCATAGCCATAGACTCAACCTTCATCAGAGAGACCTCTTACTGCAGCAGGTAGCAATTAATGCAGAAACCCATAATTGACCAAAGTACCAGAAATAAGTGGAGTACTTGGCTCTAAACAGGACGGTCATATCATCTCCACCATGGCTCAAGGAATGTCACCAAGGATGAGGGGGGAAGAATGTAAGAGCTACAGATGGGGAGATGAGCAACAAAAACACATCTTTGGGACATTTGACCTGTGAACTGACTGCATTTGTGGCTATCTGCATAAAACCTATACAAGATTGGGTCTGTCAACATTTTATTACAGATGGAAAAGGGGCCCATGAAGCCTCACCCCTCCCTGAGGGACTGTTGGCAGTTAACGATTGTTTGGGGGAGGTATCTTCTTTAGTGATATAGCCATTGATTCTACCTGACACACATCCTAGTCAAAAAACTCCAATTAAAAACTACACACACACACACACACACACACACACACACACACACACACACACACACACAAAACAGACACAAAAGCAGGACAGGGATTTGCTGGGCAGAAGTTTTCAGTGGGAGATGGAGGAGAAGAGAAGGGGATGGAAAAAAACAACCGAAGTTGGTGATATAAGTGAAAATATCGCAAAAATAGGAATTTCAGAAGGATTAGATAAAGGCAGAGTAGCCATTACTCTGTTCCCATTAATATTTTTAGTTGAGACCATGTGACAGACTAAATTGTCCTCATTTTTACCTTATGTGACAGATAAATCAGAGGTGTCTGTCGTACTGTTAACTCATGTTTGTACTTTGTTATTGGCTTTGTCTTCTGATCTCATTAGGGAAGTATTTTTGTCATTAAGTTCTTCTTGTCAGATTTAATTTGACAAAAACTTCAATTATCAACCCTATAAATCCATACAACCTGTCACATGTAAACTGTATTATGCCCAATATCTTACACTAATGCCATTAATGTCTCCAAATGATGGGAGTCCAGGGGCTTCTTATTCCATTCCTGGTTACCTGAGAGGGACCGCTGTTAAGATTTTTTATTGTTGGTTTTGTTGTTGTTGTTGCTATTTTGTTTTGGTTTTTTGCTCAAAAGAAACTTAAAATATCTACTTGGTGGTCATAAAGGTGACCTTGCCTATCACCAGGTACCTAGTGATAGTCGATCTTTTCATGTATCTGATTTTCCCCAAAGGGAAACCTGGGAGTAGATCATATAAGTCCCATTACACATTATGGGTTATTCAATAAAAAAAGGACAAAATGCCTTTAAGAAAAAAAATGTTGGCATCTGTCTATTGTTGTGCTGCAGGACCTGAGAGAATCTAGAAGCCATGGATGGTCCCCAAACCAGGGAGAGGCAGTTTGATTCTGCTCAGAAGCAGAGTTTCTTAGAGTTCCCTTTTGTTGTTGTTAGTTTCTTTTGGTTTGTTTATTCTTTTTTGGTCTTTTATGACTTTGTTTTGGAAAAAGGGCTTTGAATCCAGGGATTTGCACTTGTTAGCCAATCACTGGGCTCACAGTGGGCTTAGCGCTTCAATACTTACCATTGGGATACATTCTCAGAGCTTCAATACTTACCATTGGGATACATTCTCAGCCCCTACACTACTTCTGAATACAGCCCCATCCCTGCTGTATCTTTGTCCCAGGATGCATGGGGAAGCCATTCTGTTGGAATTATGAGCCAAGTTACCCAGGCAGACCTCAGATATGCTCAGAGTGTTCCTCTCTGAATTCTCTTTCCCATCTAAGCACATCTAAGTTATTTTAGTCAATTTGCTCCAGAAAAAAACTAGCTCCAGGTTCCCACGATGGAGCACAGCCCCAAGATCACAGAAGCAGCCTCCTGAGAGTCTGAGCCAGCAGCCAGCAGCCTCCAGGCCTCACACAGGAGCCTTTGATGGGAATGAGTCAATTCCAGGAATGTACTGAGTCTCCGCTGAGTCTCAAGTTAGTGACCATTCACAGCAATGAGTGCTAGGGTTCCTGTGCCACCTTGTGTGCAGTAAGTATGGTGCTGGGTGCTGTGGCCGGTGGGAACAGGCCTGAGAAAAGAGCAGAGGAGCTGGAATTCATCAGGGAGACACACCCAACACCGCTTTAAGAGCCCTGCCATCCCCTGTGCTGCAAAAGTGTAACATTACACAGAAGACTACAGACCACTCATTGTCTGCCTTCATTGGGCATCATCTCTTCAAGCTGAAGCTTAAAAAAAAAAGTAAAAGAAATATGCAATCAAGAACCTATTGTCTTAGTTACTGGGCTGTTGTTATGATAAAATACCCTAACAAAAGACACTTGCTGGACAAGGGTTTATTTTGTCTTACAGTTCCAGAGGGATTACAGTCTGTCACAGCAGGGAAGGCCTAGGGGCAGGAGCATCAGGTAGCCTATCACATTGGATTGACAGTCAGGGAGCAGAGACAGATATTAAATAGCACCTATAAAAGTTCAATAAGGTGGTGGCATGTGCCTTTAATTCCAGCGCTCAGGAGGTGGAGACTGGTGGATCTCAGTGAGTTCCAGGCCAACCTGGTGTACAGAGTAAGTTCCAAGATAGGCTCCAAAGCTACAGAGAAATCTGTCTCAAAAAAAAAAAAAAAAAAAAAAAAAAAAGGCTCAACGCCCACCAGCTGGGGACAACCCCTGTCCAAACACATAAGCCTACTGAGGACATTTGACCTTTAAATGTCATAGCAACTCTGCTTTAAATTCTTCAAGAAATGTGTAACTGAAAGGGCTGGAGATAGTTTGGTGGCACAGCACAGCACTGGCCTAGCACGCAGCAGACTCTAGTGTCAATGTCTAGTCTTTCCAGAAGTGAAGGATAAAAGTGACGTGACTCAGAGGAAAAGAAGTTGAAAGTTTCTAAATAGCTCCCATCTACCACAGCTCGGCAGAGACCCGGAGCAGTCAGTGAACAAACACATCCGTAAATAATAACTTTCAAAGTAGGAAATTCTTGTACATCGTTGCACTTCAAGTATGACAGAGCATATATCAAGTCCTCCTTGCTGCTCCTCATCTCCCATCCATCCACTCAGTTCTTCTCAGCTTGGAAAGATTATAGGACTGTTCATTTTTGTTGAGTTACAAATATGTGGATTCTGGGTTGAGTTGGTTTGGTTCGTAAGGGCAATGGTCCAAGGACAAATCCCAGTAGAATGGAAAAAAATGTTAAAGAAGTCTTTTAAACATCTTCTGTATGCCAGGTGGTGGTGGCGACACATGCCTCTATTCCCCAGCACTCTGGAGGGAGGCAGAGGCAGCCGGATTTCTGTGAGTTCAAAGCCAGCCTGGTCTACAGAGAGAATTGCAAGACAGTCAGAGCTACACAGAAAAACTCTGTCTCAGAAAACCAAACCAAATAAACAAAAAGGCTTATCATGTGATAGAACAGCAGCAGCATCAGTTTCAGACAGAGGAAAGAGAAAAACGCACTAACGTTGAGTAGGAGCAGATGACATGTCCTGCCTTTCCCGGAGTTTCTTTGGATGTCTGGAGCCTCTTCACCATGAAGGCCTTCCCCTAAGTGTTGGAGCTTGGCATACGGATTGACATAAATTGTCCAGTCACCTAGTCCAAATTCTGAGACTACATGACACAAGGACTTCCCTGGGCACTGAAAAACAAAACATCAATTTAAAGTAGATACTTCTAAGCCATTAATGTTTACTTCTGACAGACTTTTAGACCTTTCTAAGTCATAGGACATCTCTGTTGAAGTTTCATGTTCCGAGAATACAGAAAAGATGAGTCGCATTTTGAGCAATAATGAGAAGTCTCCTTTTCCATAGAGACAAGATAGTCATTGCTCACTCAGTGCCTGGCATCTTGCATTCTTATTTCCTCTTATAATTTCAATTATTTTAAGCAGCATCATGACATAAAACTATTACAGCTTTGATTCTCATCTTAGAGATCATCTTTCACTTCAAGGGCGAGGGGACTGGGTGTGGTAGCACATTCCTATATTCCCAGTTTAGGCAGGTTTGAGACCAACCTGGGCTAATAGTGAGACATAGGAGAAAAAGTGGTGATACTTTACTTGAGAAAGAGTGATGGGTGATGTCCTCCTGGTGTTTTCCCTTATTGGTTGATGAATAAAACACTGATTGACCAATAGAGGCAGGACTAGGAGACAAGCAGAATTCTGGGAAAGGTAGGTGGAGGGGGACCTCGAAGGAGACACCATGTAGCAGAGGAAGGAGTAACAGGTCCAGACCCTTCTCCAGTAAGATAAGACCACATGGAAATACTTAGGTTAAT